TAAAATCCGAACCGAGATTTGAATATGCAATAAAAATGTAAAATCTGAAGATAAAATAAAATTTGAATTTATGTTTGTATACGTGTTGAGAAACAAGAAAATGGTCTAAATTAAATGATAAATAAAATTCCTATTTTGTATAGCAATTGGGTTTAAATTGTGTGAATTTAAGGGGAGGTGGGAGGTCAATTAAAAACATCAATATCACCATTTGGACTGGTCCAAAACAACCATAAAATTCGAATGTGGATCTTTTCTTACTTAACTAACCACATACTACTCTGACAAGTTTAAATCCGACTAGTCTGTATGGACGTTGAGGGCACAAGATCCTTTAGGAAATGCACCAAACATGCTGGTTCTTTTTTTTTTTTCTTGAGTTTATTTAGTTTTAAATCATTTTTAAAAATTATAAATAATTAATTACAAAAATAATATTTAAATAGTAATTGCTGAGATTTTTTTGGTATTTCAAAAACTTTGACCGGGTTATTTTTTTAACTCTTTTAAAATCATAGCGAATAATATTAGGATAGTCAAGAAAACATTGAGAATACTTCTTGGATTATTATAAATATAGGGTAAAACGTGCAATTTAGCCAAAACCCTGCGGCACTCTTTCGATTTTCGTTAGAAATTATTGTAATATATATTATAAATAAAATATTTGTAAACCCTAGCATAAAAAAGCTTTAAAGCATGATGGTTGGCCAGTTCACTCTCTTCCTCAACATCAGAGGTTCGAATCTCGGCGTCAACTTTTTTATTTTCCCCGGTTTTCCCCTTTCTCCATCGTCGTCTTCAAACCAGAAAATCATGGAGAAAAACGATTCCCCTTCTCCTCGCAGAAAGGTAACAATCTCTCTCCTCTCTTCTCTCTCTTCAATCTCACTTCCACACTTTCCATTTCATTACAATTCCTTCTCAGATCTCATATTATTTCTTGGCTTCTCTCTCTCTACAGGTTAAGTTCGCTCCCAAAGCTCCTGGTCGCAGAAAGCCCAAATCTGTTCCGCCCAAAACGTAATCTTTCTTTGAAATTTCGGTTTTAAGCTTGGGTCCTTGAGTTTCCATGGATGTTTATTCGAATTTCTTAAATATTGATTCAAATGATTGCAGAGAAGCGGGTGATGAAGATGATGATGGAGCTGCCGAGGCCCAGACTTTGCTCCGTCAGTTTAACGTAACGATAACTTTTTTTTTCCCCTTACCATTTTCTTCTCTAATTTTTCGCGTTATAATCATTTCACTGTTTTGATAAGTCTTTTTTTTTTTTTTTTTTTTTTTTTTTTTTCCTCT